AGCCTGTAGTCTTAGCAGGTCTCAGCAACGGCTCTTCCTCAGTATCGAGTATGCGCTTTAGAATGCTAGGCTCCATCAATGTTTTGTAAAAGAAGTACCAAACCGGTGTCTTAGGTTCCTCTGCCATTGATACGTGCGTAAGTCCACCCAAAGAGGCATTTCCTACTACATCCTGAACAGTCAGGCGAACGGGTGACTTCTCGTTGATGGGGTTCGCCTTTTGCGAAGCTAATGGCGGGGGGAGAGGGGGAGGTTCCGGTGGCCGCTTAGCGTTAGACTCCATTTGCAATTGTGCGCAAAAAGTACTCCGAAATGATGATATCGACGGAGTATTTGAGAAAGTCAACGGAGTAGGCCTCGGGATTTTGGAGTTCCAAATGATAAAACCAACGGCTGAGCCGAGGCACTTATTTAATGCCTGTTGGTTGCGATTGCGTTCGAAAGAGGCGTTTAATATCTTCCTTGATAGGTTAGCATGTAAACTTGGGCGCCTTTCTCGGTGCTCCTTAGTATGAACTCCATTCAAATCATTAATAATACCCTCGGTCGTGACTTTTTAGTTATGGTTATCTTCATTATTATTATAGAAAGCTCTTTTTTTTTCACTTTATTGAGTGACCATTTAGATCTTTGACTACGAGTACAAAGGAGTTTGAATGCTACACTGATGATCCTAGTTCAATGATATTGTGGTTTTCTAGAGAACTGTTTCCATCCAAGTATATCATAGGTCTGTCTTCGGAAAGGTCTGATGAAAGTAGTGATATTGCAATATCTTGACCGAGTTTCAAACGACAGTCTTTCATTCCAGCGCAATGTGACTGAGTAGTTAACAAATTCTTGATGGCAAGTTGCGGCACTATTAGCTTGAGGATATACAGCGCCATGCAGCTGCCATTCAAGCAATTTGTGCTCTATTGACGACCTAGGACACAACTTAGCCAAGAACAACATAAGACCGACCAAGTGATAACGGAATGGCAAACTTCAGACAGATTGAGAAGATTGAAAACGCGGTGTCTATCGGCATTTGCTGTTGAGAGACCGACATTGCCAGCCTGTATCAACAGCAATTCGCTGGCCCCGCGTGCGTCATCATTGAGGTGAGAAAAGCATGAGTAGAAGGTAGGTCTGTAGGTATCTCAAAAACAGACTCACGGAAAGGCTTGGAGTGTGTCTCTGTTCACGGTAGGACCAAGCTGATCAAGAGCTCGGCGATCCTCTCTTGACATTAACAACGTGATATCGACCGAAATCTTCATAACCACGAAGTCTACATCTCTGGCCGAAACTTGCCACGCTTCTCCTTCATAGCTTGTACCTTCTTCCGATCTTCGTCGAATCTCTTTTGGATTTCCAACTGCTCGGCCTTCCTCCTCTCGCGCAGCTGAAACCGGTAGAAGTCCTGCATCTCGTCCTTCTTCATCTGCTGTTTATTCAACATTTTCTGTTTCGCCTCTTCGGCCTCGTCCTGTCTAGCCGGAGCACTTCGTCCGCCGCGCGTGACTGTGACAAAGCCGTCCTCGTCCGGCTCATTGCGCAACCTCTTGGCTAGCTGATTCGCCTCTTCCTCTTTCCGGTTGAAGACGGTGAAATATGCGTCTACGGCAGTTTGCGCCGCGTCGTTGCCCGGATATGTTAATTTGTTGTGCGCTTTCAACCATTGCGTGCCCAGAGGTGGGACTTTGTCATTGACGCCTTCTCCCCACACGGGGTATTTTTTGGTCTTGTGTAGTTTTTTTATCGCCTTCAAAACAGATTCGACGCTCTTCTCGTCGGCAAGCAAGACGACGGCAGAACTCCCGCTACGATGTAACTCTCGGGTCCAGGTATCTGGAAGCTTGGCGGCAGCTTCGTCTTTCTGATTTTGTAACTCCTCATCCTCTCTTTTCCTCTTCCTGTGATGTTTCTCTAGCCTTTCGGCTTGGGCCGGATCGTGTGATATGCTGGCATCCTTCTTGTCTTGTTCGAATGTAATGGTCTCGAATCGGCCGGCACCGACTAGGCTCGCGAAGAGGGCTCGAAAATGGGCTTCGGTGCTATCGACTGGCACGTTGGCTAGGTATAAGCTCCTCGAGTCATCCGCGGTGGCTATCTTGGGCGCATTCCGCCTCAGGTATACGTAGTGTGTGGCTCGGACTGGATATGAAGGTAGCGGAGGGATGGAGATTGGAAGAGTGGAAAAGCCCTCGGAGGACGCAAACTTTTCCGTCATTGTATGTCGATCGCCAATACAGCAATATGTTTCTTTTTTTTTCTGCAAACAAAAGCTTTCAATTTGGTGATGTCTGCTTCAAGATATCATGTATTCGCTTTACTCCGTACCTGGAGAAAGGCAAATTCATGCCCATGTCAGGTAGCTCTTCCAAAAGTTTTTAGTGGGGTGCTCAATGTCAACCTCAAATTATGCGCTAAGATAGTCCTATCATTATCGATTTACTCTGATCATACGCTTGTGTTATCGAGTTTATATTGCGTAATAGGAAGGAGTTTCGGGTTTTATTTCTTCAATAATGGCATTTCAATACATAAGATAGGTAGATACGCCCAGATCAAGACTACAATGTTACAAACTGACAACAGTCTGGCCAAGTATCAATTATTCATTAATTGTAGAAACTGCAATGTCAAACCTCTGAAAGAGAGAGAATGATGAGTATATTTCGGTGGCTACTACTACTATGGCTCCCGGTCTCAGCCCTCTGGTTACCGCAGCTTATTCCCGTCCATTACATCTTTCTCGCAATCCGCGGGCTAGCGATCGAGAATCTCAAGCCCGCGGGCTTCATCCCGAACCCGGAAGTGCCCACTAAAACACAATCCATGACGGAGCTTCTTCTGCTTCTTACTCCGCCGTCGTGAAGGTTTCGTTCACCATGTATATAGCCTGCTCCAATATGCATACTGCTTGATTGTCCTCTGTTCTATAGTAGTTTCGATACAGAAACCGTGTGTCTTTTAGGTTCCTCAGATTTCTTCGTTATCATGGCTTGGCGTAGTCAACTTCAGCAGTTCTTGTCTGGAACTAGGACACCCGGGTCCAAGCCGCCTTACCTTCTCGCGATCCGCTCTTCAACTACCTTGATAGTGATAACTGGTAAGTACCCATGACTCGTCTTCTTCTCAGTTACTGGAGGCAAGGAGAAAGCAATAAGTAACTCACAGCCTGGATAGTATGCCTTGGTATATTCACCGATATTTTTCTATATGGCTTGATAACCCCCGTTCTTCCTTTTGCACTGCCGCAGCGAGCTGGTATCCCGCAACAGAAAGTCCAAAGTTGGCTCTCAATCCTTCTAGCCGCTTACAGCGCCGCGCTCTTCATTGGGAGTCCAATCTCCGGGTTGTACGCAGACCGTACCTCTTCTAGGCGATGGCCCTTGATTCTCGGTCTTCTGGCCCTTGCCGGCGCTACATTTCTACTCGCATTCGGCAGGTCGTCAGGCCTTTTTATACTGGGAAGAGTGCTGCAGGGGCTTAGTTCCTCTGTGGTGTGGAGTGTAGGATGTGCTCTCCTCGCCGACACGATGGGAAAGAATGTGGGTGTTGCTATGGGATATGTTAATATCGCTATGAGTCTTAGACTCTTGCTATCTCCTCTAATCGGAGGTATCGTCTATAACGCAGTCGGCTACCAAGCTGTGTGGTACGTTGCTTTCGGTGTCGTGGGACTTGATGTCATATTACGATTCGTCATGATCGAAAAGAAAGTTGCGAAACAGTGGATCGGCGAAGAAGAGTCCAATGAGTCAGCGAGCGACGATACTCCAAATGAAGATGAAACGCCGGAGACAGGTAGTATCAGTCGAGAGACGAGGGGCTCACGTGATGTCGCCGGCCAGCAACTCCCAGAAATTAATCCAGAGCTTCCAGCCCAAAATGCCGAGTTCGAGAAGAGTCAAAAAAGTGGCCTCGAAGATATAGATGAAGAAGAACAAGGCACTCGTAAGAACGGTTCGATCTTTGTTCTTCTCAAGTCGCCTCGGTTGCTTGCCGCTCTGTACGGCTTCGTTGTGGAATCGGGCATTTTGTGAGTACTTCCCATAACCGGTTGGGACTAGTAGGCTGATGGACTCCAATAGATTGGGATTTGATGCTGTTCTCGCCCTCTTCGTTGAGAGAACGTACGGTTGGAACTCAATGGATGTGGGCCTGTTGTTCCTTGCTCTAGTTATCCCGGGCTTTATTGCACCACTCGCTGGTTGGCTATCAGACAGATACGGTGCCAAATGGCCTTCTTTCGCCGGTTTTGTCCTCACCATACCAGCTCTAATTTCTCTGCGATTTGTCGCCGTGAACCACCTGGGGCACAAGATCCTCCTCGGCTTTCTCCTCGGTATTCTCGGCATCACGCTCCCATTCTCTATGACGCCGTTGATGGCTGAGATTAGCTATGCCATTGAGGCTGAAGAAGCCAAGAGTCCTGGCATCTTTGGCAAGAATGGTGCTCTTGGTTTTGGGTACGGACTATTCAACCTTGCTTTTGCCCTCGGGGGTATTATCGGTCCTATCTGGGCTGGGTATGTTGTCGACGAAGCAGGATGGGGGACATTGAACTGGAGCTTCGCTATATGGTCCGCGTCGGCTGCTGTGGTAGTATTGATTTGGCTCAAAAGTCATGTCAAAAAGTCCTCTACGTCTGACACAGCTCCGGAGGAAGGGAATGCTTAGAGACATCGGGCTAAACTTACGAACTCATGAGACCAAGAGGTATATGATCCATCTCATATTTGTATATACTTAAAACCGTCTGAACCAACTTTCCCATAGTTCTAAATATTGTATATACGTAAGAAAATCACCACTGCACTATCTACTTCTTTATCAATAGATGTTGAAACAATTGGACGCTCATGATGTCCTCTTCTAGTCACTCAGCCACGAAAGCCACAACCTCTTATTTCATCTTTTCCTTCTTCAATAAAAAGAGTTGTATCAAGACTAAGTCTCAGTTTTATATAAATTCACAAAAAGAACGAAAGAAATGTCAAACAGACAGTCGACCACTGTCGGATTCGAACCGACAATCTTTAGAGGTTTCTTATTACACGGTAGATCACCGCGTCGCCGAAATCTAACGCCCTAGCCATTAGGCCAAGCGGCCGCGTTTCCAAGTTGTGGGATTAAGATTTGCTTCATCATGGATTAAGTTCGACTGTCCTGGATAAGATTTGTGAGCTATGAGATTCGTGGACTGGTGGGCGGAGAACATCCGTACCCGGCCCTTCGCTTAAGCGCCGGCATTAGTCCGGTGGGGAACCGGCTTCGTTACGAGGACACGGAGCGCAGGTAACCTCCGGTTTGCAACTACCCTGCTGGTCAACTGCCCCTTCAACCCTGTGAAGGATAATCTGGGGTTTACATAATAAGCGTTTAGGATAGGGGGTTATGGCATAGCACCTTTCATGTGAGTCGACTGTTGTATTACTATATATATTCCGAGTTGGGGGGAGGATTGTGCGAAGCTACTGACATTTTTGCATACCGTAACTACCTGTGACCAGGTAAGTCTACTTATGTTAATCTCTTGCAGGAGTAAGGCATTATGATTCAGGTATTTCGAATGTGTAGTCTTTACTATATGTTCCGAAGATATTGAGTAACATGTATTCAATTAGTCTATAATGTGGAAAGGACTGATTTAGTGGCTAGTCACGATTGAGACATGCAAGAGTTTACTCATTGTCAACTTATTGATATATAGAGTGCAGTTTCATCTCTTGCCTAGGGAAATGGTTCACCTATCTTGAACGTAACCGAGCCTTGATAATTGTTCCACACTCCTTATTATCTCCCAGAAGTATTACTAAACTGACGCGACACTCGATCGATTGCATCTTGCGCCTGAGAACGATGATCTGAAGTGCTACTGTAGCTTGAGGATGATGGTCCGTAAGCGATTCTTGCTGCAACACTATCGTGATGATAATCAGCAACGCTGGTTTTTCGAAGATTGCGATTTTCTCCCTTCCTCTGTGGACTGCTTCTGTTGAGGCTGCTGGAAGAGGGACATAGTGTTAGCTGAGTGTGTGCTGAACTGGGTATGATAGGCTCACTATTCCAGGAGACTGGGAGACTGGGTCCTTGAGTCTGCCATGGTGATAATGAGGATCGGGGTGTTTCGTCGTTTAGGGTGTAGCAAGTATATTTGATCTTATTGAGGTAGTTTTAAAATTATGCTTTGCTTTCGGCTTTTGCTTCTAACTGTATGAGTTGAATATGATCAAAGTTGTGCTGCTGTTTATAACGACGAAGACACACGATGCCGAGCACTTGATCTTATACATGATTGCACACTTGATCAAGCAGTTGATTAAGTTCGGTCTCATTCCCACTGTTGCTCACTGTATGAGACCACATCATCATAGAATGTAACCCAAATCGCAAGATAAAAGGCACGAATGTGCCGCAAGCCTCTGTCAACTATCGCCATTTCCGAATGTAGACCATGCCATATCCTTATATTAAACCAAGTATCGGCAGTGCGGCATAACCCGTGTTTGACGACGGCTTAGAGGGAAGCCCTTGTCCCAATTAGGAACTATTTCCCATAGTCATTTAGGGCCTCCAACTATACAACCCAAAGGTTTTACATCCTCGATAGTCCGTTATACCAATTGAGAACAACATGTCTAATAAATCCACTAAGTAGTAATGAAATCTTTGATATCCAAATATATCTCTAGGTAATATAACACAAGTCACTATGAAACTTGAGGCTTTTCCAGTGGTTGTTCACAAGAACTCTCGTGGAGAAATCGACTGGTTGGGGGCGAAGTCAGCCCAGCACAGCCCTCGCTCACCTCTGATGTCGCCAGCGTCAAACGCGCATTTGTGCCGCAGCGTTTGAAAGCGCACAATCTCAAAGGTTGACTCTAGCTTCAATCCATCTGGTAATTTTTTCTACACTTCTGTTTGACATGTTGTAGCCGCCCGATTGACTTGATCTCCTCATGGTGACCTTCGGCTCTCCGTCTTCGGGCGCTCATGGCTCTCCAGACCCTTTTAATGGGGTATATTCGAGCCTCCCCGGTCATGGCCGCACTCCGCAGCCGCCGTACTCCACCGGCCGACGATTATCAACCCCGAAGTTGAATCGAGAGTCTCCTCCAACAAACAATGTCACCACATCACCAGGGTATTACACATTTACGTCCCCGACTGCAACAGTCAGCTTTCATCATCATGAGGCTGGCATTGGAGCGCCGGAATTGCAGGAGAAGCGTCCCTTTCGATGCTTGTACTGCGTCAGCGCATTTACTACGAAAGACCATCTTGAAAATCACCTGAAGAAGCTTCATCTACGAGATGAAGATAAACAATACAACTGTCATCATTGTGGAAAGGCCTTTTGGAGTGAGGATCATCTGAGGGTATGTCAAACTCGATCGATCCTAGCTCAGGCTGACGAAGTGCAAATAGCAACATGACAGATGGTCTAGAACTTGTGAAATTGCTAAAACTACGGTAGAGGACAGTGAAAGTAATGCCGATGCATCGTCTTCGCCCCGCGCAAGAAACGCGCAGGGCCTAGGCGTAATTGAGAAGACAAGTAGTAAGAGAAATCAGAATGACTGCTCGACTCCCCTGAATCAACCTCCGACCTTGAGTCACCCAACGCAGGGCAAGGTGACTGAAGGATCATTCTCACGCACAGTTTCAACACGAGAGAATGTGATTGTAGAAGAGATCGAAGAGCCGAATACATTGCTAAGTGGACGCAGAAGCGAGTCTCAAGGGGCAAGGGGCACCACTTCCCAGGCTCTAGGTACTTCGAATACCACAGCTAACTCAACGCCGCGACTACAAGGAGTGCTACTATCATCGGCGGCGGATCACCCAGAGAACCCGCAATTGTCGGTATCAATGCACGACGATGAGACGTTTGACAGTAACAGCTCGACTTGCGTGCCTCCTTCCGTGGAGACTTATAATAATGAGTGTCCCGAAAAAGATCGGGCGGACGACAGCAATCGACATGGGGAGGATACCAAAGGTATCAAGGAAACTGCTAGTAAAGAAGAAGCCGATGATGACTTTTGGGGCTTCACGACGTCAAAGAAGACAAAAAAGAAGAAGAACAAGAAGAAGAGTGATAGTAGTCGACCCGGGTCCCCAGCCACTTTTGGTCTTTCCTTGGAGGTTAACGAGCCCTCTGGTCCCTCGCCAGGCCATGCAATCGGATCACAGGGTTCTGGCTGGGAAGACGGTAGCAGGTGGTCTTTCCAAACGTCACCCTCAAAGCCCGTTAAAACCAATAATGATGATGATATATGGGGCTGGGGTACGACTTTTTCCAAGAAAGCCACGTCGACCAGCAAAAATTTATCCCAGAGCAGTACCAATCATGCCGGTTCAGAATTTGTTAGTCCGATGGTCAAACCAGAGTGTCGAAACACAGACACAGCGAAGATGGTGGCCCACCTTGACGGGAAAGACGCACAAACAAGGCAGGAGCATAAGTCAAATCTCAGAGCTGATAACTGCCGGGGGCTACCATCATTAGTCGACCCAATGGAAATCGACGAGCCTGACAGTCAGGTATCTCTACTAATCAGCGAGCGGATGGAGGTGGATGCACAGCTCAAAACTGAGCCACGTAATAAAGCACCAGCTGAAAACTTTAGGTCAAGCTCTTCCAAGCGAGAACAAACTTGGGGATTGACTACCAGCCCATTTCATCCTTATCACGCACGGGTATCAACTTATAATGACCATTATTCGGATACTACTCAACCAAGACCACATGCCAGAGCCCACACACAATCCTCGTTTCGGGATTATTGTGCGCAATATACATCGCAGTATTCTCCAGATGCATTTTCGCCAAGATATGCTGTAACAGGCCAATATGCGACAGCATCTGTCCGTCCATCTAGCCCATATCGAGAGTCAGAGCGTCCTAAACGCCCTCGAAGGCATGGTAAATCATCATACTCATATTATCTAGCCCTAGGTTACGATGATCCAGATGAAGACGAGTACATCGAGGTTAATGGTCAGACATATGTCATACCGTCGGCAAAAAGGACTCGAAGACATGCAGCGTATGAACCAGCTATCTCAAGGTCCCGCTCTGATTCTTCGTACAACCCTTATGCCCCTGGAGACTATGAATCTGACTCTCGACATAACCGTCTGAGTACTATAAATCGTCGGAAGTCGAGCGCCGTCCCCGAGCGGTCCAGAACTGTCCGCCCTTCAGAAGCCAGACCAAAGGCTCCTACTGCGCCAATTAAAGCAACAGAGGCTGACGCGAGGAAATACAAAATCCCAGCTGGTTATTCTTTGAAGAATTGGGATCCAGTTCAGGAACCAATTCTTCTGCTTGGAAGCGTATTTGATGGAAACTCATTGGGGAAGTGGATCTATGACTGGACTGTGCATTGTCACGGCTCTTCTTCTCCGTTAGCTGAAATATCGGGAGAGTTATGGCTTTTACTGATCCAACTGACGGGGAAAATCAAGAGGTTGGATGAAACTATTCCGACCATTCGATCTCGAGAAAAGCGAGAGTTGTGTGAAGAATTCGCTGACTCCGGAGAACGTCTGGTTGACAAGTTGAAAAGCCTACTTAAGAACTGCGAAGCGCCTATGCTTAAAGCGGCAAAAGATCGTAAAGGAAGTCAACTTGGTCGTAACTCTGGTGTGGAATTCATTGAAACCCTCTTTGGAAGAGATCGTGAACTGGAGAAGACAGAGCGCTTGATGCAATCTGTAAGGCTATGGTAAGCCCTCTGTGCTATTCATTCCCGACATTAATAATCTTTGCAATCTGAAGGCATGATAAGAACCTGTTTCAGGAGCTTGATAACTCGGTAAATGAACAATTACTGACTCAAATAATGGAGAAGGAACCTTCGCTTCGATGTCAATTGCGAGGATGTTTTGAAGAAGCCACGCTTATCGGGGGTTACGCTGCAGAGTTCTGGCTCAGTGCAAACTCCAGCACTTCAGGCGAAGAAGTCTGCGCTTGTTCTACCACAATCACCGCAACAAGATCTGCCACAGAAAACCGAGCTCTGGGGGACGATACTGATAAAAGATGGCGGCCAGCAGAACGTGCGAATGGAGGACGACCCGAGTACTCTTGTGAATTGGATC